GTAGGGGATGCGCTCCCCGGCAGTGGCGCGGCGATGCCCGACGGCAGGGGGGTCGGAAAACCGGGAACGGTTCCCCCATCGCCGGCACGGTGCTCAAAGCACCGGGGCGGCAAACCGCAGCGGGGAGAAAAGCCAGTACATGCATTATCGAACGGAAACATTTATATCATAGAAAACAGTAGAAATAGGGGGGAAATGCCGGGTTGAGCCGTAGTTTGTTGGATAAAAAGTGACGGGGGGGGAAAAAAGGGGGGTGAAATTTCCAAATTACAAATGAAGCAGCAGCACAGGCGCTCGCTGGGTTGGGTTTGTTTTTTTTTAAAAAAAAGAAATACTGGCTTTTTACGGATGCCTGTATGCACCAGCTGATGAACACCGTGGGATGTGGTGGCAGAAGAAATGCAAAGAGCAAAAACCGACCCTAAAAATCCCGTTAATATTCGCATCCGATTGCTGACGCCGCAGGGAGGTCTCTGCTTTTCCTGCCTGGAGGGGCCGGTGGAGTCGGGTGGCTCCAAAAGGCTCCGAATAAAAAAAAAATAAAATTAAAACCTTTACATCCGCTATACTCTTATAAAATGAACCATACACATCGTTATATGATGAACCATATGCACGTAAAATCACCCGTACGCATCCCAGCTCGGACCGCCAGCGTTCGGGGGATGTTGCTGTGGGTTTGGGGTCTTTTTTTTATTTTAAATATCACAATTACCCCCCCCGACGGGGGGTTTCTTAGGAGATTTGGGGTGTTTCCAGCTAAAACCGAAGTTAAAAAGTGGGGAAAAGCAAGTGGGTCTTTGCAAGGTTAGAAAACGTCGTGTCATCCGGCTGGGAGCTGGGAGCTGCACGGAAAAGCCTGGGACCCCCCGGGGCCGGGTCAGACCCTGCGACGGTCCCGCACTGCCCCTTTAGCTTATAAAAGTAATAAATTAATTAACGAATATTTGCATCGAGTCCTTTCTATACACAAAGGTTGGGGCCCTGCCGGGGAAACGCCGCCGCCGGAAAAGCTCCCGCGTCTCTATAAAAATATGAGCATCTTTCAGGGAGTACAAAAAGCCTTCGGGGGAGGCGAAGTGCCGGGGCGCAGCCAGCCCGGCCAGCGCCGACGTCCAAAACGGCTCCCGGGATGTTTATCTCATGGATACGCCGCGCAGGATGGGTTTTTCGAGGAGGCGGTGGGATGCCGCGGGGAGCCTGAACCATCCCCGTGTGCCGGCGTGGGGCTCAGGCGTGCTTGGCCCCGCTCCATGCACTGCCCCGGGGTGCCGGGAGCTGAGCACCCGCCGGCTCCTGGCCCCGTGCCGGCACGGCCGGCGGGCCCCCCACCCGGGGCCCGGG